GTCCCTGGCCACCCTCGTCCCTGGCACCCTCTCCCCCCTGGCACCCTCGTCCCTGGCACCCTCGTCCCCTGGCACCCTCGTCCCTGACACCCTCGTCCCTGGCAGCCTCGTCCCCTGGCACCCTCGCCCCCTGGCACCCTCGTCCCTGGCCACAATCGCCCCTGACCACCCTCGTCCCTGGCCACCCTCGTCCCTGGCCACCCTCGTCCCTGGCCACCCTCGTCCCCTGGCACCCTCGTCCCCTGGCACCCTCGTCCCTGGCCACAATCGCCCCTGACCACCCTCGTCCCTGGCACCCTCGTCCCTGGCCACAATCGTCCCTGACCACCCTCGTCCCTGGCAGCCTCGTCCCTGGCAGCCTCGTCCCTGGTAGCCATGCCCCTGTTTATTGTGCCAAGCGTGTAATCAAAGTAGATGTTTATAAATTTATCCAAGCAGCTCCACCCAACACACACACACACACACACACACACACGCACACACACACACACACACACACACACACACACACACACACACACACACACACACACACACACACACACACACGCACACACACACACACACACACACACACACACACACACAGGCGGGCTTGCAGCTGAATGGATAGCGCTTGGGAGTCGTAGTTCTAAGGGCCCGGGTTCGATTCCCGGCCGAGGCAGAAACAAATAAGCACAGTTGCTTACACCCCTGATGCTTCTGTTCACCTAGTAATAAATAGGTATCGGGGAGTTAGACAGCTGCTACGGGCTGCTTCCTGGGTGTGTGTGTGTGTGTGTGTGTGTAAGAGAGAATTTATGTAGTAAGTAATTGAGGAAAAAGGTTGGTTAGAAAGGCGGGGTCCAAGAGCTATCAGCTCGATCCTACAGGCAGAAATAGCAAGTAAAAATAGTAAATGCACACACACACACACACACACACACACACACACACACACACACATCAATATCTATAAAATAGAATATCTGTCCAAAGCAGAGCAGATGCTAAAGGCTAGCCTCGCTAAACTTTCACAAAAGACACATGGGGGAAGTATGTGTCATAGGCCACATGACACATGGGAAAGTATGTGTCATAGACCAGTTGTGCTCATTTAACAAATATCCGTATCTCTACCTCCCCCCCCCCCCCCCTCCAGCGATTTTCATCAAATCTGACATTGGGGGTGTATTTTCCTAAGAGTTTCTCGCAGTTTAAGTGCTTCGAAAATTTAATTTTATGAGAGAGAGAGAGAGAGAGAGAGAGAGAGAGAGAGAGAGAGAGAGAGAGAGAGAGAGAGAGAGAGAGAGAGAGAGAGAGAGAGAGAGAGAGAGAGAGAGAGAGAGAGAGAGAGAGAGAGAGAGAGAGAGAGAGAGAGAGAGAGAGAGAGAGAGACAGACAGACAGACAGACAGACAGACAGACAGACAGACAGACAGACAGACAGACAGAGAGAGAGATCAGATTCAGAAGAGACAATTAGATACTCTAGATCAATGACTCAAACTCTTGTCTGGTACAAGTAACACACACAAGAGAATTACTACTTCAAACACTACTCTAAGTGAAGTTTCCTAATTATGGGCCCCAAGTAGACACAAGCTGAATTGATGTAATACTTGACAATTTACAAGAACACAGTACTTGCACTCACAGCACACAGCACATAACCAGAGGTTGGTTCACAGCACAAACACACCGCCCTCGCCCCAAACCCTCACTGTTGACAGTGAGTGATGAAGATTACGCCACCCAAGAGGTGAGACAAGCATGAACACCCCGTAAACTGTTGAGTCTCTATGCTTTTAGCTTATATACAAACTGCTGGCCATGACAGTTTGGCCCCCCTTGGCACCCACTGAGGTAGATTAGCAATCACAAGCGGATTAGCAAGACCGCGAACTGAGAGGCTTATCTCCCAAGCACTTGACCTGACTTGATCCGGCATGTTCCAGTGTTCAACTATTTTGCCGAGTACCTTTCGCTTGTGATGTATCATGAACCCTACAACATCTAGACGCATGTATACCACATCACGGACACCACATCGTGGACGCATGTGTACCACATAGGGACGCATGTATACCACATCAAGGACGTCACAACATTCTAAATCCTCCGCCGTCAAGGATCTATCTCCTGCAGATGAAATCAACAGGGCCGCGACGAGCCTAAAAAGGCAGCGCCAATCCGCGTAGTGGATCCCTTAGAGGCGGTGTAGTGATGATATCCGAGATCACTGCCTGCGGCGAGGGCAGTGAAGTTGATATCCAGGACCACAGATAGCGCAGCAGTGATGCGATATCCAAAATTCAGTGCGGTCCTGATTCCAATTCTGGCCATCAGATAGAATCATAAAAATGAGTCATTAGACGAGAACGCTTTGATTAATATCAAGTACAAAAAAAACAGAAAGAAAAAGAAATTAAAGAAAGAACAAATAATACAAAAAAAGAAATTAAAGCAAGAACAAATAATACAAACAAGATCTTAGCGAGCCGTCTCCATAACAGCGAAATGCGTCACGCAAAACTCTCCTTATATGACGCAAAGGAGCCAAATCAGTGAACTGATTTAGTCACCCCCACACAGGACGCAGATGGTAGTATACCCATTTAAAACCCGCCTTAGCGAAGGGGTAAAAGGAGTGAGAATGGGGGTGTAATGGGGCGTGTGGATAGGGGGTGGGAGAGGAGAATAGGGAGAGGGTGGGATAGGGGAGAGGCTCCACCATGGGGGGATAGTCAGGAACCTCCTTGGCGCCTCTAGCCCCACATCAGCTGTCACTCCGGTTAGGTTACCATGCCTCTCCTCTACCCTGGCTCGCTGTTGGGGTCTCACGGCTATCCTCACTCACACTGGCCTTGCGTCCTCATACTCACACTGATCTTGCGTCCTCATACTCACTCACACTGATCTTGCGTCCTCATACTCACTCACACTGATCTTGCGTCCTCATACTCACTCACACTGGCCTTGCGTCCTCATACTCACACTGATCTTGCGTCCTCATACTCACACTGATCTTGCGTCCTCATACTCACACTGATCTTGCGTCCTCATACTCACACTGATCTTGCGTCCTCATACTCACACTGATCTTGCGTCCTCATACTCACACTGATCTTGCGTCCTCATACTCACACTGATCTTGCGTCCTCATACTCACACTGATCTTACGTCCTCATACTTGCACTGATCTTGCGTCCTCATACTCACACTGATCTTGCGTCCTCATACTCACTACATGATATTCCCTGAGGGATCACTACATTCGTTATAATACCTAACAAATTTGTTTCGATAAGCACACGCAATTACAACTTTTTTCAAGTGACGGATCCTAAAATTCACTTGCTTTGTTTGGAATGCCATCTGTATTTGTGTAAAGTACTTTAACGCTGGCTTTATTTTATTTCAGAAATATGTGTAGCATAATAAACCCTACATTATTTGAGTTAGGAAAATACTATTTGTCAAATATAAATGCTGTTCTCAAAAAGATTCGCTCCATTTTGCACCCGCAAAAGAACTTAAATTTTTAAAGGTTGATAAATGTTAATCTTCTTGTTTTGAGGAGCTGTTCACTTGAGACAGTTAAGCAAGTCCCAGCTGTGTCTGGGTACAAGTGACAAGATGAACACCCCCAGCGGGTTTTCTTCCTATTGGGGAGTGTTGGACATGCTGCTATGGCGGTGTGTTCACGACCCACCAAATCCATTAACAACCAGGTACCCATTTGTTGACCAGACCACACACTAGAAGGTGAAGGGACGACGACGTTTCGGTCCGTCCTGGACCATTCTCAAGTCGATTGTGAGTCGATTCACAATCGACTTGAGAATGGTCCAGGACGGACCGAAACGTCGTCGTCCCTTCACCTTCTAGTGTGTGGTCTGGTCAACATATTTTAGCCACGTTATTGTGACTCCTCGCCTGCACAGGTACCCATTTTACTGTTGGATGAACAGAGGCTACAGTTAAGGCTTGGCGCCCAGTCAATCCTTCTCCTTTTCTCTCTTCTTAGGTTCCCGAAAGTAAATCCCCTATTTTCTGCCTTATTACTTCCAATATTCCTCCTATTCTCCTTCACTCGTGGAGTGTCTCGAGGGATGGCATCTTCCCATCACTTACCACGAGTACCCAAGAGACCTAGGGCCAGATTCACGAAAGCCCTTACGCAATCAATTACGAACGTGTACATCTTTCCTCAATCTTTGACAGCTTTGGTTACATTTATTAAACAGTTTACAAGCGTGAAAACCTCCCAATCAACTGTTGTTATTGTTATAAACAGCCTCCTGGTGCTTCCGAGCTCATTAACTGTTTAATAATTGTAAACAAAGCCGCAAAAGATTGAGAAAAGATGGACAGGTTCGTAAGTGCTCGCGTAAGTGCTTTCGTGAATCTGGGCCCGAGTCAGTACCCACTCGGTATAGTGTAGCGGCATTGTATACCATAGTATACCCCACTCTACACAATAGTCCAAAATTATCTCTCCATTAGGTTTTGACATTTTTCTACAAAGAAAGCCCCCAAACACGAGCCCCATTTCTATTCCCATTCTCTTATCCCTTTTACTCAGCCCCATTCTCTTACCCCCTTTATTCAGCCCCATTCTCTTACCCCCTTTACTCAGCCCCATTCTCTTACCCCCCTTTATTCAGCCCCATTCTCTTACCCCCCTTTATTCAGCCCCATTCTCTTACCCCCTTTATTCAGCCCCATTCTCTTACCCCCTTTACTCAGCCCCATTCTCTTACCCCCTTTACTCAGCCCCATTCTCTTACCCCCCTTTATTCAGCCCCATTCTCTTACCCCCCTTTATTCAGCCCCATTCTCTTACCCCCTTTACTCAGGCCCATTCTCTTACCCCCCTTTATTCAGCCTCATTCTCTTACCCCCTTTACTCAGCCCCATTCTCTTACCCCCCCCCCTTTATTCAGCCCCATTCTCTTACCCCCTTTACTCAGCCCCATTCTCTTACCCCCTTTACTCAGCCCCATTCATCTATTCCAGGAGTGCCTCTAGCCGCCATGGAGACCCTCAGGTCGTCTGCAGACTACCCCGACTACCCTCATTTCTTCAACGACAGCTGGGACGAGCCCCCTTGGGACGAGGCGGCCGAGTCAGAGATTGCCAAGTGGGTGATGAGGTGGTTACTGGTGATTGTTGTGCAAGGTATGAGTAGTGTAGTCGTGCACGGTAGTTTGTCCTCGCTCAAGGTGGTAGTGTAGTCGTGCACGGTAGTTTGTCCTCGCTCAAGGTGGTAGTGTAGTCGAGCACGGTAGTTTGTCCTCGCTCAAGGTGGTAGTGTAGTCGAGCACGGTAGTTTGTCCTCGCTCAAGGTGGTAGTGTAGTCGTGCACGGTAGTTTGTCCTCGCTCAAGGTGGTAGTGTAGTCGAGCACGGTAGTTTGTCCTCGCTCAAGGTGGTAGTGTAGTCGAGCACGGTAGTTTGTCCTCGATCAAGGTGGTAGTGTAGTCGAGCACGGTAGTTTGTCCTCGCTCAAGGTGGCAGTGTAGTCGAGCACGGTAGTTTGTCCTCGCTCAAGGTGGTAGTGTAGTCGAGCACGGTAGTTTGTCCTCGCTCAAGGTGGTAGTGTAGTCGAGCACGGTAGTTTGTCCTCGATCAAGGTGGTAGTGTAGTCGAGCAAGGTCGCTTCAGTAAGATTCTGCCCTATGTGTTTAACAATTTCTTCTGTGTTGATGGATCTAAGTTGAATTCTTAATGGCTTTGTAACTGCTGTCTTAGATGATGTTCCAGTGGTCTGTTGGGCATGTCTTCCCAGTGGTGACATTGGTAGTGTGGTCGTCGTTCAAGGCAGTAGTTACATCGTGTAAGCAACCCATTCTCGATCGTCTTGCAAAGTTAATTAAAAATTCCTGGGGTAGTCTTAGTCAGCTAGTTTGAAGTAGGTGATATTTCTTGCTCATCTTGTCAAACATTGTAATGGAATTAGGCCCCCCAGATCCTTATGTGTAAACACTCAGGACTCTACTCCTTGATATGGTTGGGAGTGTTGGCTGTGTAAACACTCAGGACTCTACTCCTTGATATGGTTGGGAGTGTTGGCTGTGTAAACACTCAGGACTCTACTCCTTGATATGGTTGGGAGTGTTGGCTGTGTAAACACTCAGGACTCTACTCCTTGATATGGTTGGGAGTGTTGGCTGTGTAAACACTCAGGACTCTACTCCTTGATATGGTTGGGAGTGTTGGCTGTGTAAACACTCAGGACTCTACTCCTTGATATGGTTGGGAGTGTTGGCTGTGTAAACACTCAGGACTCTACTCCTTGATATGGTTGGGAGTGTTGGCTGTGTAAACATTCGTTAAAGAAAGACGACTATCCAAGTCGAGCAATGTTTCTTGCCTCATTGCTTGATATAGCTAATGGAGAAGACAGGATAGTGGCAGCTTCTTGAGATTATCTTGAGTTGATTTCGGGGCTTTAGTGTCCCCGCGGCCCGGTCCTCGACCAGGCCTCCACCCCCCAGGAAGCAGCCCGTGACTGCTGACTAACACCCAGGTACCTATTTTACTGCTAGGTAACAGGGGCATAGGGTGAAAGAACCTCTGCCCATCGTTTCTCGCAGGCGCCCGGGATCGAACCCGGGACCACAGGATCATGTGTCCAGCGTGCTGTCCGCTCGGCCGGCCGGCTCCCTATACAGCTTAGTTAATCCTGTGTAGCATTTCCTTGGAAGGGTACCTTTGGTTCCGGTGTAACCATCAGTGGTATGTTGACCAGACCACACACTAGAAAGTGAAGGGACGACGACGTTTCGTCTCTTCAAGTCACACAATCGACTTGAGAATGGTCCAGGACGGACCGAAACGTCGTCGTCCCTTCACTTTCTAGTGTGTGGTCTAGTCAACATACTTCAGCCCCGTTATTGTGACTCCTCGTCTGTATCAGTGGTATCACCCAACCTGTTCTCGCACTTGCTTATAGTCAATATTGGCTTATTTAATAAGTGCATATGTGACATACTAATTGATTGAAAATATTTTAGTTTACCTTGAAAAGCTTCATAGAAAACACCGACCTCACCTAACCTTCTTAGTATGTTAAGATAAGCATCTTATTGCTTCTTATTTACAATTATTACTTAATCTATACCGTTGATAGGTTAAGTAATAATAGTCACATATGCACTTATTAAATAAGCCAATATTGACTATAAGCAAGTGCGAGAACGGGTTGCATCACCAATGTTGCCGTGCGATGTAGTGTTGTATTTGTCGTGTAGTGAAGTAGTGTTGTATTTGTCGTGTAGTGAAGTAGTGTTGTATTTGTCGTGTAGTGAAGTAGTGTTGTATTTGTCGTGTAGTGTAGTAGTGTTGTATTTGTCGTGTAGTGAAGTAGTGTTGTATTTGTCGTGTAGTGAAGTAGTGTTGTATTTGTCGTGTAGTGAAGTAGTGTTGTATTTGTCGTGTAGTGAAGTAGTGTTGTATTTGTCGTGTAGTGAAGTAGTGTTGTATTTGTCGTGTAGTGAAGTAGTGTTGTATTTGTCGTGTAGTGAAGTAGTGTTGTATTTGTCGTGTAGTGAAGTAGTGTTGTATTTGTCGTGTAGTGAAGTAGTGTTGTATTTGTCGTGTAGTGAAGTAGTGTTGTATTTGTCGTGTAGTGAAGTAGTGTTGTCATGGACTGTAGTCAGATTGTCGTGCAAGTTGAACGTATTGTCGTAGAGTGATGTAGAGTTATCGTGCGATACAGTAGTGTCCAATACAGTAATCTTGTGGTCGTATACAGTATTGTTGTGAAATATGATATAAGTATGGCGGTCTTGTCAACTACCCATAGCTCCAACCTTCCCCTGAGACCCTCATCCTTCCCCTGAGACCCTCATCCCTCCCCTGAGACCCTCGTCCTTCCCCTGAGACTCTCATCCCTTCCCTGAGACCCTCCATCCCACCCCTGAGACCCTCATCCTTCCCCTGAGACCTCCCATCCCTCCCCTGAGACTCTCATCCTTCCCCTGAGACTCTCATCCCTCCCCTGAGACCCTCATCCCTCCCCTGAGACTCTCATCCCTCCCCTGAGACCCTCATCCCTCCCCTGAGACCCTCCATCCCACCCCTGAGACCCCCATCCCTCCCCTGAGACCCTCATCCTTCCCCTGAGACCCTCATCCCTCCCCTGAGACCCTCATCCTTCCCCTGAGACTCTCATCCCTCCCCTGAGACCCTCATCCTTCCCCTGAGACTCTCATCCTTCCCCTGAGACTCTCATCCTTCCCCTGAGACTCTCATCCCTCCCCTGAGACCCTCCATCCCTCCCCTGAGACCCCCATCCCTACCCTGAGACCTCTCATCCTTCCCCTGAGACCCTCCATCCCTCCCCTGAGACCCCCATCCCTACCCTGAGACCTCTCATCCCTCCCCTGAGACCCCCATCCCTCCCCTGAGACCTCCATCCCTCCCCTGAGACCCTCAACCCTCCCCTAAGACCCCCAACCCTCCCCTAAGACCCCCAACCCTCCCCTAAGACCCCCAACCCTCCCCAGACACTCCCCCATCCCTCCCTCCCCTAGTGGCCTCCCCAGCAACGCCCTCTCCCTCCCCCCGCAGGATGTCGCGGGGCGTGGCCAGGGTCATCGCTGTGCTCTTCATAGGCTACATGGTGTTGGGGCTGACTGGCAACTTCCTCACTATCCTGGCCCTCCTGCGCTGTCCTCGGGTCAGGAACGTCACCGCTGCTTTCATTATAAGGTAAGGCGGAGGGTAGTCTTGTTCTCAGGTAGTCACGGGTCCCTGTGACTACCTGAAGGACCTGTGTTCAAACACATTGCATCCCATTGTCACCAAAGGCTCACCTCACTTGCTGCAACACCATGAATGTTTTCAAAATGAAATTGACAAAAATATATATATATATCCCTACAGGAAGTACCAGATTACTGTGTCTCTCACGGGCTCACCATAGCCCGTGCTACTTGGAACTTTGTTCCAGGTAGCGAATCTTTAACAACAACAACAACAAACTGTGTCTCTCACTTGAGTTACCTAGAGCATACCAGGTATGCTATAGGTAGTTATACTTCTACATCTCTCCTCCTCGTCTCCAGCTAGCTAACGAGAGCGTTTGTGCCTTGCAGTCTGTGTGTGGCCGACTTCCTGTTCTGCGTGTTAGTACTGCCTTGGGAGGTGTCAAGATTCCTTGCTGGCAAGTGGGTCTGGGGAGAAGGCTGGATCTGCACCCTTTTCCCGCTTCTCAGGTCAGTTACCTTCCTTACTTTGCCTCTTCCTCCTACTACTACTAGTACTTCCCCAACCCGTTCTCGCACTTTCCTATAGTCAATATTGACTTATTAAATACGTGGATATGTGACATACTTAACATGCTAGTTTATTGTTGACCAGACCACACACTAGAAGTTGAAGGGACGACGACGTTTCGATAGGTAAATCGAATCGACTTGAGCCAGGACGGACCGAAACGTCGTCGTCCCTTCAACTTCTAGTGTGTAGTCTGGTCAACATACTTCAGCCACGTTATTGTGACTCATCGCCTGCATACTAGTTTACCTTGAAAAGCTCCATAGAAAACACCGACCTTACCTAACCTTCTTAGTATGTTTAAGATAAGCATCTTATTGCTTCGTAATTACAATTATTACTTTTACTTCCCCATATAGTGAGGAGGGGGGTATGGGGGGGTGCTCCGGCCCCCCTTACTCTTACCCCCCCCCCTCCATCCCAGTAGCTCAAATGCTTCTCCCCATTTATGGTCGTATTTTAAATGAGCGCTAATTAATATATTGAGAACTATCACTAACATTATCAACATCATATTGTAACGTTCCTACAGTGGCTTTTATCTATAAAGATTCCTACAGTATCTTTTATCTTCCTACAGTATCTTTAATCAGTATCATATATCTTCCTACAGTATCTTTAATCAGTATCATATATCTTCCTACAGTATCTTTAATCAGTATCTTATATCTTTCTACAGTATCTTTAATCAGTATCTTATATCTTCCTACATTATCTTTTATCACCCCTATATAAAAACATTATATATTTCTCAGCAATTGATTGGCATAAATTTCGCTATAAATTTAAGTACTGTTAAATTGCTGTAAAATTTACAAGATATTCTGGTACAAATGAGGTTATCTTGAGATGATTTCGGGGCTTAGTGTCCCAGCGGCCCGGTCCTCGACCAGGCCTCCACCCCCCAGGAAGCAGCCCGTAGCAGCTGTCTAACTCCCGGGTACCTATTTACTGCTGGGTGAACAGGGGGGGCATCAGGGTGAAAGAAACTCTGCCCATTTGTTTCCGCCTCCCCCGGGGATCGAACCCGGAACCTCAGGACTACGAATCCCGAGCGCTGTCCACTCAGCTATCGTAGAGCCCCCTTGTGAAGCGGGCGGCCACCTGCCCAACCTGGCACTACTAAGATGCCAATTGTAGCCTCCAAAAAAATATCCATTAAACTATCAGTACTGGCATCATGCTGTGCCCCAAAATCCCCCTTCGACCGTCCACAAGTGGTTGGGCACTATTCCCTTCCCTCGTCCCATCCCAAATCCTTATCCTGACCCCCCTTAGGATAAGTTATCCTGAGAGATAAGTATACAGTGATAGAGTAAGGATTATATATATTTTGGGATTGCGTAGAGTAATAATAATACTCAAAATACTACTTCTTCTACTATACTATTTATACTACTTCTTAAACTACTACTTTTCAGGCGAGGAGTCACAATAACGGGGCTGAAATATGTTGACCAGACCACACACTAGAAGGTGAAGGGACGACGAAGTTTCGGTCTGTCCTGGACCATTCTCAAGTCGATTGTGAGAATGGTCCAGGACGGACCGAAACGTCGTCGTCCCTTCACCTTCTAGTGTGTGGTCTGGTCAACTATTACTACTAAAAACAATGATAATAGTATTAAGAGTGATGACCTGAGGGTCAATAATGTGTGTATAATAGTATTAAGAGTGATAACCTGAGGGTCAATAATGTGTGTATATGGCGATCCCACAGGTACTGGAACGTTGCCGTCTCTCTACTGTCCATCGCCATGATCACTATCAACAGGTAGGTCAAACACCTGTCTGTCTGCCTGTCTTCCTGTCCCCCCCCCCCCCCCCCCCACTCTCACACCTGTCCTAACTCTCACACACCTGTCATCTGCCTATATCATGGGCACGTAACTATTTTCTACATCATATAACTTATACAATAATTATTGGTTCGTTAATCCCCTGAAAATTTCGTTGAATAATAATAAAAATAATAAGAAAATTCAATAAGAAATGTGGAGAAAAATAATAAGTAATTGTAATGTCTTATTACAGACAAAATAACATAATTACATAAGAAGTATTAAAAAGTACTATGTACTAGTATTACTAAAGTACTATGTACTTTATGTAAAGGTTTGAACTACACCAAAAGTCCTCCACCCTCTCTTGAACTTCCATCTGGTCTTAAGTCTTACAAAGTCTTTTTACAAAGACTTATACACCTCGTAAGTCCAAACTCTATACATTGATACCTTGATAATGTACTCAAAAGTGCTGACTTTTCGTATAGTTCAAAAATCTTGATACAAAATACACAAATGCATTAGTTTTTTATCCTAAATGAAGATGATAATACTTGTACTAATGGGTAACATCCACCAGGGCTGTGAGGTAGGTTCGAACCTTAAACCTAGGCATGGCCAGTAGATCACTGAAACTTCTAAAGTCATACAATCCGATTTACCTATAGTCGCAGTGGAGTTACCTATAGTCGTAGTGGAGTTACCTATAGTCGAAGTGGATTTACCTATAGTCGCAGTGGAGTTACCTATAGTCGCAGTGGAGTTACCTATAGTCGTAGTGGATTTACCTATAGTCGCAGTGGAGTTACCTATAGTCGAAGTGGATTTACCTATAGTCGCAGTGGAGTTACCTATAGTCGCAGTGGAGTTACCTATAGTCGAAGTGGAGTTACCTATAGTCGAAGTGGATTTACCTATAGTCGCAGTGGAGTTACCTATAGTCGAAGTGGATTTACCTATAGTCGCAGTGGAGTTACCTATAGTCGTAGTGGATTTACCTATAGTCGCAGTGGAGTTACCTATAGTCGTAGTGGATTTACCTATAGTCGCAGTGGAGTTACCTATAGTCGAAGTGGATTTACCTATAGTCGTAGTGGATTTACGTATAGTCGTAGTGGATTTACCTATAGTCGCAGTGGAGTTACCTATAGTCGTAGTGGATTTACGTATAGTCGCAGTGGAGTTACCTATAGTCGTAGTGGATTTACCTATAGTCGCAGTGGAGTTACCTATAGTCGTAGTGGATTTACCTATAGTCGTAGTGGATTTACGTATAGTCGTAGTGGATTTACCTATAGTCGTAGTGGATTTACCTATAGTCGTAGTGGATTTACCTATAGTCGCAGTGGATTTACCTATAGTCGCAGTGGAGTTACCTATAGTCGAAGTGGATTTACCTATAGTCGTAGTGGATTTACCTATAGTCGAAGTGGAGTTACCTATAGTCGCAGTGGAGTTACCTATAGTCGTAGTGGATTTACGTATAGTCGTAGTGGATTTACCTATAGTCGTAGTGGATTTACGTATAGTCGTAGTGGATTTACCTATAGTCGTAGTGGATTTACCTATAGTTGTAGTGGATTTACCTATAGTCGCAGTGGATTTACCTATAGTCGCAGTGGAGTTACCTATAGTCGAAGTGGATTTACCTATAGTCGTAGTGGATTTACCTATAGTCGACGTGGAGTTACCTATAGTCGCAGTGGAGTTACCTATAGTCGTAGTGGATTTACGTATAGTCGTAGTGGATTTATCTAAGGTTGTAGTGGATTTATCTAAGGTTGTAGTGGATTTTCTCCTTTGATATATATTGAGTTAATGTGATTTTTGTGTGTACTAGTATTAAATATATTAATTAACAAACCTCCCCCCCCCCTCTCTCTCTCTCTCTGCCTACAGAAAGGTAATGATTGGGTGCTTTAATAATAATTATATAGGTATCTTCAGTCTATTGAGCTACGTATATATTTTCTTCTTTCTGAGTACGATTGCTTGACCGGATGGTCGTTTGACCCGGTGTGCGCTGCGTTCGCATGACCCGGTGTGCGCTGCGTTCGCTTGACCCGGTGTGCGCTGCGTTCGCTTGACCCGGTGTGCGCTGCGTTCACATGACCCGGTGTGCGCTGCGTTCGCATGACCCGGTGTGCGCTGCGTTCGCTTGACCCGGTGTTTGCTGCGTTCGTTTGACCCGGTGTTTGCTGCGTTCGTTTGACCCGGTGTGCGCTGCGTTCGCTTGACCCGGTGTTTGCTGCGTTCGTTTGACCCGGTGTTCGCTGTGTTCGCTTGACCCGGTGTTCGCTGTGTTCACTTGACCCGGTGTTCGCTGTGTTCACATGACCCGGTGTTCGCTGTGTTCGCTTGACCCGGTGTTCGCTGTGTTCACTTGACCCGGTGTTCGCTGTGTTCACTTGACCCGGTGTTCGCTGTGTTTGCATGACCCGGTGTTCGCTGTGTTCGCATGACCCGGTGTTCGCTGCGTTCGCATGACCCGGTGTTCGCTGCGTTCGCTTGACCCGGTAATCACCTAACCCAGTGACCTTATAACGCCCTACAATCACCTCTCACTTTCACGAACGAGGCAATTTCGACACCCTTAACAACCAAAATACGCTCAATACCACGGTACACATTTTAACCAAAGGCTGGCGACCGCCAAAAAAAGTACAAAAGTGTAGCTCTAGCTTGTAAACTACAAGGTAAACTCGAACTAGTTCATGTACAACATTTATGACAAAAAAACCTTTCGTCCCCTGTACAGGTACATCATGATAGCCCACTTCAGCGTGTACAAACTGGTGTACAGGAAGGGTTGGATCGCCCTTATGATCGCCTTCTGCTGGGTCTTCGCCTTCGTCATGCTTCTCCCTACCCTTCTCAGCAAGTGGGGTACGTACCCTAAGCCCCAGGTACGTCTTGGGTACACTGTGGCATGTTAGAAGAGGTTATGGTGCACTCTGGTACATTTTAGAGGAGTGGTGTTACGCTGGGATGGAGGGGAGGGGGGTTACAGGGTACTACGGTACATGGGGTTGAGATCGTGGTACACTATGGTACTTTAAAAAAGCGGTTGTGGTTTGCTGACGTTTACTAGGAAGGCCAATGATAGCTTGTACCTTTGATGTGGTACTAAAAGTACCTCTAAAAGTATTCATGGTACGACGGGGGGTGTCCTCGCGGTACAATGCTGTGTCCTGACGGTACACTGGTGCGTTCTGGCGGTACACTGGTGTACCTATTGAACGGTGTATATTAATTACAAACACACTATCGACATACAGCTCCACACCTCCACCAGAACCACACCACACCAGCACCACACACTACCACCAGCACCATACACCACCACACACTACCACTAAGCCCAACCGCTACCATCTTCACCTCGCAGGACGCTTTGGCTTGGACCGACGGCTACAGACCTGCTCAATCCTGGACGACAGCAACAAGTCGCCCAAGCAGGTGCTCTTCGGGTTGGGCTTCTGTGTTCCCGCCATAGTCATCGTCATCTGCTACTCCCTGATATTCTTCGTCATCCACAAGTAGGTCCAGCTTCGGGAAGGGGCCTCTAATAATTCAATCCTCTATTGAAGATTTAGATAATTCTGGCCGGGGAGGATTTACTGGGCGCAAATCCTTAACTGTAGCCTCTGTTTAACTCAACAGTAAAATGTGTACTTGGTTGTAACAACGATTCTTCGCGGCAGGGGATCGTATTCCAGGGACCTGCCCGAAACGCTACGCGTACTAGTGGCTGTACAAGAATGTAACAACTCTTGTATATATCTCAAAAAAATAATCTTCATTTACATTATCGATGCCAACACCCATATCCCGTTGAATTTAATAACTTAGAATAATGCTATATATGTTCGATGTGGACTTCGAGTCGGACGAAGAGGACCTTCGAAGTCAGACTCCTTCGGGAAGGGGACGAAGGTCCTATTCGTCCGACTCGAAGTCCACATCGAGTTATAGCACATAGCATTCTTTTAAGTTATCAAACTCAACGGGATATGGGTGTTGGCATCGAGGAATGTTGTAATCTAAGTCTATAATTTATATATATTTATATACTAAATAGAGTAACCGGCGCTGCCCGGGGTTCACCCTAAAGAGTTGCACCAATTCAGTGTTTGGAGCCCAATAGATAACTGGCGACGTGTCCGGTAAAAACGGGACACATAAGGTGTTTTATGTAAGCCTAGAGGTCATTTAAATAATCCTAAAAATCACTTAAGTAAGTCTACAGTCACTTAAAATACCTAAGCGGCTTCTATATCGACGTCCGTTCAGATTAATTTAAGTTAATGATCTTAATATAAGTCGCTATGCATGTTGACAGAAAATGGATGTGGAAGATTTGTTAGGACTGACTATGACATTTTGGTCTCCCAGGTCTGAGAAGCGGATGCGTCAGCACAGCACCCGAGGCATGAACGGGGCGGCGCCCCCCTCCGGACCTACCCTCCAGCCACAGTCCAGAGTCACCACCAAGGTTAGAACCCCACCACAGGCAGCTGATAAGGGGGAAAAAACCGATTTGTCATTTGTTTTTTAACTGCATCAAAAACAGAATGTCCGGCAGGCGTGTCATGTAATGACTCCCAACCTCATTGTTCCTTGTTATATCTGTTCTTAAATCTATGCTATCTCCCCTTCTAATTCATCACTGAGCTACGACATGGAAAAAGAATTGCAACCGGGAAATCATCCTGATTTACCACGGTTCCTGCAGCCTCTCAGAGACACAAACCAGGGACCAAATTCACGAAAGTACTTAAGCAAGCACTTACGAACCTGTACATCTTTTCTCAATCTTTGGCGGCTTTGTTTACAATTATTAAACAGTTAATGAGCTCCGAAGCACCAGGAGGCTGTTTATAACAATAACAACAGTTGATTGGCAAGTTTTCATGCTTGTAAACTGTTTAATAAATGTAACTAAAGCCGTCAAAGATTGAGAAAAGATGTACACGTTCGTAAGTGCTTGTGTAACTGCTTTCGTAAATCTGACCCCTGGGTCTTACGCAATTCCACCATTGCAATAAAGTAAACAAAATACATTCTACATACAGAGATAAAGTATACAAAATATATTCCTTATCAAGGAATATATTCCTTATCAAGGAATATATTCCTTATCAAGGAATTTATAAGGAATATATTTAGACTTCAAACACCCTTGAAGAGCTGGTCGGCCGAGCGGACAGCACGTAGGGCTTGTGATCCTGTGGTCCCGGGTTCGACCCCGGGCGCCGGCAAGAAACAATGGGCAGAGTTTCTTTCACCCTATGCCCCTGTTACCTAGCAGTAAAATAGGTGCCTGGGTGTTAGTCAGCTGTCACGGGCTGCTTCCTGGAGGGTGGAGGCCTGGTCGAGGACCGGGCCGCGGGGACACTATAGCCCCGAAATCATCTCAAGATAACCTCCCCCACAGTCTTACTCCGATCAACTGGCATCATCTTGCCTTCACCTGATAGTTTATTATAAGACGTATTGACCAATTATTGCTTCTTTAGGTTATCTTAAGGTTATCTTGCTCCCCAAGTAGTATTCATCTTGTAGTACTCCGGGCAGGTGGAGCGAGAGGCCCGGCGCCGCAGGAATGAGTGGAGGATCACCAAGATGGTGCTCATCATTTTCATCGCTTTTCTCATCACCTACCTGCCCATCACCCTCGTTAAGAACCTGGACAAGAAGGTGGATTATCCAGGTAAGCTCATGGGAACCAATTGACACCAGGTACCATAGGTTATCATGGGTTTAGCTGAGACCAGGGATTATTTAAGATCAGCTAGATTCACGAAAGCACTTACGCAAGCACTTACGAACCTGGGGCCAGATTCACGAAAGCACTTACGCGAGAACTTACGAACCTGGGGCCAGATTCACGCAAGCACTTACGAACCTGTGCATCTTTTCTCAATCTTTGGCGGCTTTGTTTACAATTATTAAACAGTAATGAGCTCCGAAGCTCCGAAAGCACTTACGAACCTGGGGCTAGATTCACGAAAGCACTTACGAACCTGTGCATCTTTTCTTAATCTTTGGCGGCTTTGTTTACATTTATTAAACAGTTAATAAGCTCCGAAGCACCAGGAGGCTGTTTATAACAATAACAACAGTTGATTGGCAAGTTTTCATGCTTGTAAACTGTTTAATAAATGTAACCAAAGCCGTCAAAGATTGAGGAAAGATGTACACGTTCGTAAGTGCTTGCGTAACTGCTTTCGTAAATCTGGCCCCATGTTCGTAAGTACTTGAGTAACTGCTTTCGTGAATCTGGCCCCAGGTTCGTAAGTACTTGAGTAACTGCTTTCGTGAATCTGGCCCCAGGTTCGCAAGTACTTGAGTAACTGCTTTCGTGAATCTGGCCCCAGGTTCGTAAGTACTTGAGTAACTGCTTTCGTGAATCTGGCCCCAGGTTCGTAAGTACTTGAGTAACTGCTTTCGTGAATCTGGCCCCAGGTTCGTAAGTACTTGAGTAACTGCTTTCGTGAATCTGGCCCCACTGGATCAGTTGAAATCAGGGACCAGGCGAAACAAGAGACCAGGAAATGAACAAATCCACAAGGGCCGTGACGAGGATTCGAACCTGCGTCCGGGAGCATCCCAGAGACCAGGAACCATGCAAGTGCAGATACCAAATGAGACCAGGTGAGATTAACAACTAAGACCAATAATTATTACATCTTGACCAAGTGATGTTGTTTAAGATTCAGCTACTAGGAACAAGAAGTTCCAAGTAGCACGGGCTATGGTGAGCCCGTAGTGGACTTACCTGGCACAGGAGCGGGGCAAGTAGCACGGGCTATGGTGAGCCCGTAGTGGACTTACCTGGCACAGGAGCGGGGCAAGTAGCACGGGCTATGGTGAGCCCGTAGTGGACTTACATGGCACAGGAGCGGGACAAGTAGCACGGGCTATGGTGAGCCCGTAGTGGACTTACCTGGCACAGGAGCGGGGCAAGTGGCACGGGCTATGGTGAGCCCGTAGTGGACTTACCTGGCACAGGAGCGGGGCAAGTAGCACGGGCTATGGTGAGCCCGTAGTGGACTTACCTGGCACAGGAGCGGGGCAAGTAGCACGGGCTATGGTGAGCCCGTAGTGGACTTACCTGGCACAGGAGCGGGGCAAGTAGCACGGGCTATGGTGAGCCCGTAGTGGACTTACCTGGCACAGGAGCGGGGCAAGTAGCACGGTCTATGGTGAGCCCCGTAGTGGTAGCTCAAGCTTTGTTGTTGTTTAAAGATTTAGCTACTTAGGACGAAGTGTCCATGTAGCACGGGCTATGGTGAGCCCGTAATGCTCAAGCAACCCGTTCTCGCACTTTCGTATAGTCAATATTGACTTATTAAATACGTGGATATGTGACATACTAAACATACTAGTTAAGTACTGAGTAATTACAATTATTACTTAACCTATTATAGGTATAGGTTAAGTAATAATTGTAATTACGAAGCAATAAGATGCTTATCTTAACATACTAAGAAGGTTAGGTAAGGTCGGTGTTTTCTATGAAGCTTTTCAAGGTAAACTAGTATGTTTAGTATGTCACATATGCACGTATTTAATAAGTCAATATTGACTGTAAGAAAGTGCGAGAACGGGTTGTCTCAAGCTTGTTGTTGTTTTAGATTTAACTACTCAGAACGAAATGTCCATGTAGCACGGGCTATGGTGAGCCCGTGTGTCTCAAGATTGATTGATTGATTGATGAAGATTAAGCCACCCAAAAGGTGGCACGGGCATGAATAGCCCGTAAGTGGTGGCCCTATTGAGCCATTACCAGTATCAAGAGCTGATACTGGAGATCTGTGGAGGTGCGACTGCACCCTGCGTGACGGGAGATGTCTCCCGGACCAAATGGGGACCAGATGGTGGTGTCTCAAGCTATTCTCACCACTTTATATACTGTTGTTGATGTTATTAAATAAGTTAATTAAGTGAGGTGTGTTAAGACGGTGGATGGGTGATTGTCCCGCAGGGCTCCACGTGCTCGGCTACGTACTTATCTACATCTCGGCGTGCATCAATCCTGTCATCTACGTCATCATGAACAGACAGTATCGACAGGCCTACAAGACGGTGCTGTTGTGTCGACGTCCCCGTCTCCCGTCTCTCACCTCCTCCCACACAGGTGAGCTACTCACGTGTCTCTGTCTGTCTCTCTCACACACACACACACACACACACACACACACACACACACACACACACACACACACACACACACACACACACACACACACACACACATTGACAGTTGAAAGGCGGGACCAAAGAGCAAGAGCTCAACCCCCGCAAGCATAACTAGGTGAGTAAGACAGCTTTATGCCGGAAGATCCCACAGCAGAGCCTTCCCCGAAGCCTGGTCAGAAACCGGGCCGCGAAGGACCCTGAACCCCGGAACCACCGCAAGGTAACGGAGTCAGTGCGTTATTACCACCATTAATAACGGTAATATTACCATTACCACCATTAATAACGGTAATATTACCATTACCACCGCGGGAACAACGATATGGCCAAGGTTTCTCAGTATGTCGTCAGCACTTACGTACTTGCTGACCAGACCACACACTAGAAGATGAAGGGACGACGACGTTTCGGTCCGTCCTGGACCATTCTCAAGTCGATCACACAATCGACTTGAGAATGGTCCAGGACGGACCGAAACGTCGTCGTCCTTTCATCTTCTAGTGTGTGGTCTGGTCAACATACTTCAGCCACGTTATTGTGACTCATCGCCTGCTTACATACTTGCACCTAATTGAAATTGAAATTGGAATAAGTTTATTGAGGTAAAATACACACAAAGGGATGAGGTAGCTCAAGCTATTCTCACCCCATTCAGTACATCGTGTTAATACATACACACACACACATCACAAACAATAAACATATTACCAAACATTCTGAGAGATAAACATATACATTTCCACCTTTACACAAGTAGTATGGTATCAGACGTACACACAAATACTTTTATGACCTAGGTATACTGTGTAGACAATTTGCAAGACACCTGCAGATAATTCAACAAAATATTACAGTCTTGGTAGAGGCCAAGATGGGAGCCGGTCGGCCGAGCGGACAGCACGTTGGACTTGTGATCCTGTGGTCCTGGGTTCGATCCCAGGCGCCGGCGAGAAACATTGGGCAGAGTTTCTTTCACCCTATGCCCCTGTTACCTAGCAGTAAAATAGGTACCTGGGTGTTAGTCAGCTGTCACGGGCTGCTTCCTGGGGGGTGGAGGCCTGGTCGAGGACCGGGCCGCGGGGACACTAAAGCCCCGAAATCATCTCAAGATAACCTCAAGATTGGTGCAAAATTCTTATATCTCTCTGTATCTAATTGGCTGGCATTGGCTGTTGCCGCTAGCGTGGGAATCAGGTGGTGGTTGGTGGTTTAAGATTCAGCTACTGGGAACAAAACGTTCCAAGTAGCACGGGCTATGGGGAGCCCGTAGTGGACTTACCTGGTACAGGAGCGGGGCTGTAACTTGGGGAATCAGGCCTTAGCCTTCGCCATATCATCCTCTTACCTTAGCACCACCTGAGCGCCTTACCCCAAGCCTACCTACTTACCCCGCGTCTCAAAGTCCATGTTAGAAAGCCGAGCGCTGAGAGGGATAAGCTGGCAAGGTCTCCTCTGCTCCGTCTGATGTTAATGGGAGCCGCTTGAACATGCTTCTAATCCTCGTTAATTGCCAACAAGCTTCTTGGTGTTGGATGTTTGTCTTGCTATAGGTCTCAGGGACCCGTCTGCCTCGCCAGGGGCCCTGAGAGAACTGACACATGGTCCCTGAGGTGCATGGAAGGTGTAATTACCTAAGTGTAGTTACAGGATGAGAGCTACGCTCGTGGTGTCCCGTCTTCCCAGCACTCTTTGTCATATAACGCTTTGAAACTACTGACGATCTTGGCCTCCACCACCTTCTCACTTAACTTGTTCCAACCGTCTACCACTCTGTTTGCGAAAGTGAATTTTCTTATGTGTGTGTGTGTGTGTGTGTGTGTGTGTGTGTGTGTGTGTGTGTGTGTGTGTGTGTGTGTGTGTGTGTGTGTGTGTGTGTACTCACCTATATGTGCTTGCAGGATCGAGCATTGACTCTTGGATCCCGCCACACACATCCCGCCTGTGTGTGTGTGTGTGTGTGTGTGTGTGTGTGTGTGTGTGTGAAATGGTTTGCTGCGAGACGGGCACCTTTCTCAAACCTTAAAATTACCATTTTAAAAAACCATTTTAAGAACCTTGTTCTTAAAATGTTCTCAGAGGCATCTTCCATGGGGCTATCTTGAGGTTATCTTGAGATGATTTCGGGGCTTCAGTGTCCCCGCGGCCCGGTCCTCGACCAGGCCTCCACCCCCCAGGAAGCAGCCCGTGACAGCTGACTAACACCCAGGTACCTATTTACTGCTAGGTAACAGGGGCATAGGGTGAAAGAAACTCTGGCCATTGTTTCTCGCCGGCGCCCAGGATCGAACCCAGGACCACAGGATCACGCGCTCAGCCGCCGGACGATGTTGATTTTATTTTGTTTTTAAATCATCGTTATTCATCTTCTTAGAACAGTGGAAATTTGATGAGACATTTGATGAAAGATCCCAGAAAATAATTGCTAAAAAACATTGATGTTAAATATGTTATTTTTGTTAATTATAAGGAAACCGTAACCAACTTCCAAGCTGGAGTTGTGTACTCACCTACTTGTGCTAGCGGGGGGTTGAGCTCTAGCTCTTTGGTCCCTGGTGAACGATCACCGGTGACGCAGCCGTCAGCCACACTACGCTCACCCTATAGTCTGAACACTCACGGCCTTAGGCCTATACTCTTCATTGTCAAACACGAAAAAAAAGAGGTCTATGTACGATAGTAAAATAATTCTTACTACTCAATACAAATCGTGGGGGAAAAAATATTCAGAGTTTTGAGAAAATATTCAGAGTTTTGAGAATATTTTGACGTCCTCAGTCAAATCTTCAGACTTCAGACAATCAGAAGTCCTCACTTCTGATTGACAGAGCACAGTAAATAATGGCAATGTTTACTTTGAATGTGGTGAACATCTCTCCTCACAGTACTAACTCACCGTACTGGTAACCTCATAAGAAGGTTCTATCTCACCTCACAGTACAGGTAATTCATCTTGTAGTTAATGCCCTGAACCAGGGTTATCTTGAGGTTATCTTGAGGTTATCGTGAGACTATCGCGAGGTTATCTTGAGGTTATCTTGAGATGATTTCGGGGCTTAGCGTCCCCGCGGCCCGGTCCTCAACCAGGCCTCCTTTTTGTTAAACCCCTGGAAGCAGCCCGTAGCAGCTGTCTAACTCCCAGGTACCTATTTACTGCTAGTTGAACAGGGGGGCATCGGGGTGAAAGAAACTCTGTTCATTTGTTTCCACCTCCACCAGGGATCGAACCCGGAACCTCAGGACTACGAATCCAGAACGCTGTCCACTCAGCCGTCAGGCAAGTGTGTTCGGACAAGTTGTTCGAACAAATTCGTAAAGAGGACCTTAAGGGTCATATTCAATGCTAGAACCAAAGATTCTAGCACAAATCTTCCATATTATATGTTTTTCTTCACTTACAAACTTAAACTTTTGGAGAGTTAAAGTTTATCACGTATTAACAAATTAACATTATACACACCTTGTATCATACTGCAAAGCATGAATGTTAACCGTAAAGTATGAGGAGAATGTTAATGGTAGTAGTAGTAGTAGTAGTATCAGTAGTATCAGTAAAAAGTATTAATAACTAGACTACTAACAACTGGTAGCCCCCTGGGCATGGAGACTAGGGGGGAAGGGGGAAAGGGGAAGGGGGCTACACTAGAGAGTAACAGCATGGTTAAGCATGATTCGTCTTCCTTTGCAGAGCTCAACAAAGCTGCCTCGTGTCGCAAGTATGCCCACCTCAGGTGCAACTCCTGCATGTCCCAGCAGCCCTCCTCCAACACGCCCACACCCCGCCCACAAACACGCCCACACACACTGCATGACCTCTCTTTTCCAAACAGAAACACCACTTTCCCAATCCGGCATCTGGGGTTCGACACCCCAGACACACAGAGTCTGGACACCCTATCTGTAGATACCAACAGAGATACCAGTACCTGCAAGGATTGTGAGCTGATAAGAAGACACCACAAGCTCTCGTGTGTCGAATGCCTTACAGCTAAGAACACCAGACGGAACACCTTTCAAAGTCTTAGCGAGGCTCTGGCTACTCGAGGGCGATCTATTGAGAGCTTCGCTATGCAACACGTTGTCGATCATCTCCCTCATCCAATCCTCAACCGGTTCATCCAAGTTGAATCATCCGTATCCCTTGAAAATGCTTCCTTGAGAAGTAATACCCCAGCTCTAGCTGAAGTGTCTAAGTCTGCTAAAGAAAGTTCCCCAAACAATTCCTTTGACGAAGAAACTGATACGTGCAGCAATAAAAATACATTAGCCAAATACATTAGTCTGACAACAACACAAGAAATTGACCCACTCAGAAGCAAGGGAGAGTCTAAGACTCCTGATCAAAACGGCATCTGTTCCTTCATAAACCCGACTTACACTCAAAGTCAAACAATAGAACACAACCAGGACCAACACAACACAAGGATCAACTTTAGACAACAGAACACAACCAGGGGTCAACAGTACACCATGGAACATAACCAGGACCAACACAACAACACTACAGAACACAACCAGGACCAACACCATACTACACAACACAAGGATCAACTTTAGACAACAGAACACAACCAGGGGTCAACACCAGATAGCATAACACAAGGGGTCAAGACTAAATAACACAACACAATAAGGGGTCATCACCAAACAACACAACACATCCCAGATGTATGACAAACTACAAGACACAAACACAACATCAAACCCATACACGACTACCAGGATGGAACACCACAACAGTCAGAATAACATTGACTACACCACAACGACTGAATTCAGCAGTAGGCTTCACCCAACCTCTTAAAACACACTATCTTGAGGTTATCTTGAGATGATTTCGGGGCTTTTAGTGTCCCCGACCAGGCCTCCACCCCCAGGAAGCAGCCCGTGACAGCTGACTAACACCCAAGTGCCTATTTTACTGCTAGGTAACAGGGGCATAGGGTGAAAGAAACTCTGCCCATTGTTTCTCGCCTGGGATCGAACCCAGGACCACAGGATCACAAGTGCAGCGTGCTGTCCGCTCAGCCGATCGGCTCCCACTATACGATAAATCCGATACAAATTCTTTCTTGAGGAAAGGAATCGAGACATTTAAAGTCAAAGACTGGACGACTTTTTTTCCCAATCTCAAACACAGAACTGAAACCAATCTTACCCCCAACTCAAGATGGAGTTTTCACCCTAAGAGGATGCCCCAAATCAAGATATACCCCCCCCCCCTCCCCTACCCTCGGTTCAAACACAACCCATCACCCTGATTTCTAGACGAGGCTGCGACAAGAGAGCATCTTCAGGAAGAAACGTTTCAAGTTCTCCGTCGAAGTCTTCAGTCTCGGAATGACGGAGAAGCCCGCCTTCTGGGGCTCCATGCGTCGAAGTCTTCAGTCTCGGAATGACGGAGAAGCCCGCCTTCTGGGGCTCCATGCGTCGATGTCTTCCATCTCGGAATGACGGAGAAGCCCGCCTTCTGGGGCTCCATGCGTCGATGTCTTCAATCTCGGAATGACGGAGAAGCCTGCCTTCTGGGGCTCCATGCGGTCCCAGTGCCAGCCGTGCATGCTAAGCTTTGAGTGCCAAGACTGAGACTGCATGATCAGTATTCTTTCTGCATGCGAGTCATCTTTTGCACCGTCAGGTAATCTTCATGCATGTGAGTAGTTTCAATATGTTTCCACTAAAGCCTCTATTTAGTGGCTTTAGTAAAGCCACTATTTGTAGCGGCTTTAATTTCCTTTCCTAATGTATGGTATTGCCACCGGCATAGGTGATTAATGAATGCTGATATCTTGTTTGCAATACCGTGTGTTGGGAGCAGCTGCGCATCTATCCTGTCCTGGCATGATAATTCTAGTGTGACTTATTGTGAGAACTGTTTATCTGTTCCTGAAACACAGTGATTACTTTAGTGTATGTCTGTTATGTCTCGTTTTCTATGTGTGTGTTATCGTTTTCTTTTATTAAAAGGAACAGGATTATTCTTTCAAGCTCAACATTATTTTGCTTTCAGCTTCCAGACGACGATGTTGCTGCTCATATCCCTTCAGCATTTGAGCTTTATAAGTAATTTCACTAATTTCTCTCACGTGAAGATGTTGATCATTCCTTCTAAATGGTGGTCATCTGGCCTCCCCCCCCCCCCCCCACCATTTCCAATTTTAGAGACTTAGCTAAACACCAAATTATATTATATATATATATATATATATATATATATATATATATATATATATATATATATTGATATTAATTTATATACGAGAAAATATTCATTTTGAATATAAAGTACGTTCAAAATGTTTTTTTAAATGCTCCTCCCCCCCCCCAATTGTTCTTTTTTCGGGGGGGGGGGAGGGGAGAGTGGCCGCCGCTTGAATCCCCCTAGAACCCAAATTAACACCGGCCATGATAGCCTAGGCCGAGCCCGCTTAAATAAGTTAAATTTACATTTTTGAACGGCGCTGTTTACATTTCTAATTACCCTACATGGCAGTTTCTATTGGGTTTGAAATAACGTGTAGCTAGAAAACCCATTATGTATAAAATCTCTATAATATTAAGTTATATACCTAAATAATTCATCACGTGAAATGCGATTTCCTAACTGTGGAAAACTGCAGATATTTTCATAGTCTTAAATTATTCATCCTCTCATTCAATATTATTTCGAGACGTTGATAAACAGTTTGATTTCGAAGACGAGACAGGAACATGTAATGTTTACTTTTGCAGAGCGCGGGAAGGGTCGGAACAAGATGGTGATGGAGGAGCTGAATGACAAGACCATGATGTCTCAAGTCTCTCTCTCCGACGCCGGCCCCTTGCCCGAGTGCCACGAGCTTCCTGAGGTCTTCCTCGACAAGTGACCCTCCACACACACACACACACACACACAAGTTAATCTGTGTGGTTACTTCAAGCAAAACAAGAAACAAACGCAACGACTTAATACAAGAAAATTAAGTAAATGCTAATTTACAAGAGAATATTGGTGGAAGACTTGCAGGCGATGAGTCACAATAACGTGGCTAAAGTATGTTGACCAGACCACACACTAGAAGGTGAAGGGACGACGACGACGTTTCGGTCCGTCCTGGACCATTCTCAAGTCGATTGTGAGAATGGTCCAGGACGGACCGAAACGTCGTCGTCCCTTCACCTTCTAGTGTATGGCTTGGGGAAGACTTACCTTTAGCAACTGTGTGAAAGAAGAGAATTAGCAAAACAAAACAAAAAAAAATATCTTATCTGTCCAGCAAATATCAGTTGGAGAGCGAAAGATGCAATAGAGAGCTTCAACTTGTAATTTATATAATTTTCCTTTAGCTGTACTAACATTGTATATATATCTATACCCATAAGAGAATGTCGGTCTGTATGTCCAAAGTTGGAGACGAGACGCTTTGGGCTAGGCTTCCCCAAATATTTGCAGGGGGAATGGTCTGCTGTATGGAACGGACATAGGCTGGTTGAGGTAGGTCTAAGTTAAATGCTTTAGGAAATATTAACAATTATAAACACCCTCCTATAGGACGTTTTCATGGAGACTTTTTGGGGGGATTCAAGTGTGAAAAATACCATGTGATTGATGTGTTGTCATAATATAATTTATTAGATCCATATAGTTGTTTCAGTGGTTCTTAATAATATATTTTATGAGAGAAGGGGGAAGGGGAGATAGATGGATACATGAATATAGAGATGGATAGATGTATTGATAAATGGATAGATGGATGAATAAATGGGTGGATAAATTGGATAGGCTGAGGAAAGATTGATATGGTAGAAAGATAGATGGACTGCAATCGTGATTATCTTCATATATATCTGTTTTCAATTTTTCCACTCCTAACAATTGTATATTAAAAACATGTTTTCCAAACTCAGCAATGTATAGTTTTTCCTTGTGTTATACAGCATTGAGAAATAATCGGCATATTTAGGGTTAGGTTAGATTTAAAATAAGTTTTGATTCAAATTAAACAAATCATTATCATGTAGGTTACATGAACGTTGTCATTCCATAGAAGAAAATATCTGAAAGATCTAATATAGGAAGAAAATTCAGCTAGTTAAACATCTGTGGCTATTGCATATATATATATATATATATATATATATATATATATATATATATATATATATATATATATATATATATATATATATATATATATATATATATATATATATATATATATATATATATATATATATATATATATATATATATATATATATATATATATATATATATATATATATATATATATATATATATATATATATATATATATATATATATATATATATATATATATATATATATATATATATATATATATATATATATATATATATATATATATATATATATATATATATATATATATATATATATATATATATTATATATATATATATATATATATATATATATATATATATATATATATATATATATATATATATATATATATAATGTGTGTGTATTTAAGCTTTATGCACACTTGATTCCCATTGAAGTGAAGTGATTTGGATATTGAATAGGATATTCAAGTGATTTGATGATTTGATGAAATATCTGTGCCCAATCATGCCACGAGTGTTGCCGGGTTTATGTAGGTCCCAATGAGACTTCCCAACACTTTTAAACAGTTGGTTAAGACCGAGTGGTTAAGCACTGGACAGCTGAGAGGCATGGAGACCCTGGTTGACTGAGTTCGAATCCTTCAGGGGGATCAATATTTTTCAGATATATAATGATAGCCTTAGCCAAATTTGCAGAGGGAACGGTCTGAGGTACGGGATGAACATAGGCTGGTCATTTTTTTCTTATAGAAATATACACCATTATTCAAAGATAACGGAAAAAATAAAAAATTTAATTCTTGCTATTTAAACTAAACACCTAATTTCCAAAAACACACAAATTGAAATCTGAACCTCCCTCCTCCCATAGAAAACTGAAGGCCAACCCACAAATTCTAATGAGGGGAACTTTGACATTCTTTATGAATGTCATTTAATATTATATGACCCTTGCTCTTAGATGTCAACGACCAGTAGAGCTTGTGTCGCCCCCTAACGACCAGGGGCCAGATTCACGAAGCAGTTACGTCAGTACTTACGAACCTGGGGCCAGATTCACGAAGCAGTTACGCAAGCACTTACGAACGTGGCAACCCGTTCTCGCAAATTTAATAAGTCAATATTGACTTATTAAATATGTGCATAGGTGACATACTTAACATAATAGATACCCTTAAAAAGATTCATAGAAAACACCGACCTTACCTAACCTACTTAGTATGTTAAGATAAGCATCTTATTGCTTCGTAATTACAATTATTACCTAACCTATAATAGGTATAGGTATAGGAACGTGTACATCTTTCCTCAATCATTGACGGCTTTGGTTACATTTATTAAACAGTTTACAAGCATGAAAACGTGCCAATCAACTGTTGTTATTGTTATAAACAGCCTCCTGGTGCTTCGGAGCTCATTAACTGTTTAATAATTGTAAACAAAGCCGCCAAAGATTGAGAAAAGATGGACAGGTTCGTAAGTGCTAACGTACCTGCTTCGTCAATCTGGCCCCAGGTTCGTAAGTGCTGACGTAACTGCTTCGTGAATCTGGCCCCAGGTTCGTAAGTGCTGACGTAACTGCTTCGTGAATCTGGCCCAGGTTCGTAAGTGCTGACGTAACTGCTTCGTGAATCTGGCCCCAGGGACCAATCAAGAGTTTCATGTGATCAAACTTGCCACAGGCTTATCAGTCCGTCCTCTCGAGTTTTCACCTCACAAAATTCTATTAAACTACCCGAACCTAACCCAACCCAGCGTAACCGACGACCACGTATAGAAAACGTGAACTTTGGCGAGCCGCAATAATATACAGCCCATGTACTTTGCTCCATTGGGGGATTTTGACGTCAAAATACATTATTATACATGCATTATTCGAGAGAGCTGGTCGGGTATACATTGTATTAATTCCCCTCACATTTATATATCTAGATATAAATTATTTTTCTAACGATTTATGGTAGCCTAATAGGAGGCCTGGTCGACGACCGGGCCGCGGGGACGCTAAGCCCCGGAAGCACCTCAAGGTAAGCCTTTAAGTTTAAGGGTAAAATATGACCACATAGCAATTAGTCCAAGTATATTAGTATTGCTATGTGGTTAAGTCCAAGTGGTTAAGTCCAAGTGGTAATATGTTTGTAAAATTCGCCACAGCGTAGACAAAGTTGTATCAAAATTGTATCAAAGTTGTATTAAAGTGCACTTGCATATTTGCGATGCTGTGGTCTACACTGTGATATAAACTCTTGTGTATAATAAATCTTATGATAGACCCTACATTCACGGCTATATTTCCATTTAGAAAGGCTATATGAGTGCGAGTCTACCAGTTACAGGTTTAGTTGAAGTGTCGTAGTTCGAATATATATTTGTGTTGCTCCTTGTTTTAATCGCCATTTCCCTTTGTCGGAATTAACCAATTTAGGTGTGAAAAATGAATCAAATGTAACCAAGAACGTCAACGGTTATGTTGACCCCATCGACACACTCATTAGGCTCACACACACACACACACACACACACACACACACACACACACACACACACACACAAAATGGCCTGGTGATCTGGTCGGCTGCTGGCCTGGCCTGGTATCCTGGTCGGCTGCTGGCCTGGCCTGGTATCCTGGTCGGCTGCTGGCCTGGCCTGGTATCCCGGTCGGCTGCTGGCCTCGCCTGTTATCCTGGTCGGCTGCTGGCCTGGCCTGGTGATCTGGTCGGCTGCTGGCCTGGCCTGGTATCCTGGTCGGCTGCTGGCCTGGCCTGGTATCCTGGTCGGCTGCTGGCCTCGCCTGTTATCCTGGTCGGCTGCTGGCCTGGCCTGGTGATCTGGTCGGCTGCTGGCCTGGCCTGGTATCCCGGTCGGCTGCTGGCCTGGCCTGGTATCCCGGTCGGCTGCTGGCCTGGCCTGGTATCCCGGTCGGCTGCTGGCCTGGCCTGGTATCCTGGTCGGCTGACAGGACAGTAAATATGACCACTTTCTAGTACGACAGTTTTTGGCCTTAAGGAACGCATACGAGCGAAAAGCGACGTTCTTTGTAGGACTGGCGGCTTGCTGAATACTTTAATAACAACTTTGAATAATAGCAAAGTAGGTAAAGTGACAAAATTAATTACTTCTACCGTATACAGGTTTTAACAGTCGTTTAATATTATTAAACATGCAAAGGGATTTAATGCACACAACATATACAGTACTAACCTTCCTTCAATTTGCTTTCCATTATACATGAGAAGTTTGAGAGTTTTTCAACAGAAAAATGTACAAAAATATTAAAACCAAATATTTATGTTATACAACATTGTTAGGCTTCTTAGCATTGATAAATTGATAATAAGAACTAATGTAAACTGTTCACCAAGAGTTGCCTAATGATTTTATGTTAATCTACATAGTAAAGTTTACAACAAAAACTGATACTTTAACTAACCAAAACGCCAAAACTTCATAATCTTACGAAATGGGAAAAATAGGAAAATGTTGAAAAATTAATGACAAAATGTTGAACGGAATAGATTTCCATGTCATTACATTAAACGCAGAATATATAAGAAACTCGTACGCATGATATCATTGTTAACAAAATCACTGGCTAAATAACTCACCTGCAGAGAAGTGCTGACCAGCAGTGCTGACCAGAAGAGCTGACCAACTGTGGAGCCTAAGAAAAAGAGAACATGTAAATATCAAACGTTATGGAATGTTGAATAGGAGAAAATAGATCACAATCTTAAATTACGTGAAAAATCTTTAAACTCTGATAAAGAAAGATATATAAGTGTGATTCATTATAGAAAACTCACACGAGGACCACAGAGAACATTTTTGGGAGGAGCCTAAGCTATACTAACTCCAAGATTTTAATTATTTGGATGGTGAAATTTTAACTTAATTATTTACAACCTTTGAGATCAAAATTAGACTATGTAACGGGTGTAAGGTGTCTATATATCAAGATGCATAAAACACTGGATAAGATGCAAGGCCATTCAACTAAAAGGTTTCCGGAACTGAAAAACATATATATATAACATATTATGCTGTGGGTCCCTATAATTGCACCAGAGGTGGTACCCCCTATATAAATATATATATATATATATATATTATATATATATATAAATTCATCTGCTAAACAAACTAATTTGGTAATAGATAACATTAATACTACAAAACACACAAACCTTAAGATACCTTGAAGGTGTTACCAGTAAAGGCAATTGTGACTTTAATGCCAAGTGCAGCAACGATGCTTATTGTTGAGCCCCAGGAGTCCCTCAGGGTGACAAGCACCGGCCCCCACACACACACACACAACACTGGGGAGCAAAACCAAACACTCGGCCCCCCAAATTAAACGCAAAAGTTATTCGGTGGTCCCCGGCAGAGCAGATGCCAGCCGCCCACCATGGCTGAGGGCCAACCAGGAGCCCATCACGGCTGAGGGCCCACCAGGAACCCATCACGGCTGAGGGCCCACCAGGAACCCATCACGGCTGAGGGCCCACCAGGAACCCATCACGGCTGAGGGACCACCAGGAACCCATCACGGCTGAGGGCACACCAGGAGCCCATCACGGCTGAGGTCACACCAGGAGCCCATCACGGCTGAGGGCCCACCAGGAGCCCATCACGGCTGAGGGCCCACCAGGAGCCCATCACGGCTGAGGGCCCACCAGAAGCCCACCCAAGACCCACCAACTCCCTGCCCCTCCCGGCCAAGCCGCACGATGCCAGCCCTCATTGCCTTCACTGTAAACAAAAACATTTACCGCAGACTGTGGAAGAAGGATAAGAAAGCTCACTATAAAAATATAAATCGTGTATCCCGCAACCCCAACTCTCCCTCAACCTAACAGCGACATCTATTGACCGGAACCTCAACTACAGGAGAAACTGGCACAGTAATATCACTGACTTTCTCGAATCAAAGTTGTCTGTATCTGAAATATCTGTCTTTTTTAAATAGTTTTGAAGATGCAGCATTAATGACAATATTTTCCCATTTTTATCTTGTTCTGGATACTATATAAATGTAAATATTAAACACATGATTCCATAATGTCGTGAAACAAATCAAATTACGAATCTCACGGGGTAACTCTTTTATAACTAACGAAGACGAGATTATTTGTGGAATATTAAAGAAGATTGAGAGTACGGGAAGTGCTTATTTGTCCATCACATTCATATCCCGAGTGCTTACGACGGGGGGACAGGAAGCCCGTGGTTTGTCAAACGTCTCCCCATTTTACCGAGGACTCTCCATTTTATCCAACTCAGTTTTGAACTGTCCAGTATGGAATGACAGTTGCCTAAAAGCCAGAGATCTGTTTACAGCTAGGTGAACAGCAGCATAAGGTGAAAGAAAACGTGCCCAGACTTCCGCATCGCGCGTGTAGAATGCCTGCGCAGACCATTGCGCCTCGCTGCGCGATATTATGAAGAATTCAACGAGGATAATGAAAACTCATTTGTTTAAATGTGCTTCAAGTATATGAAAGCAACCAGTAGACTGCAGGCGATGAGTCACAATAACGTGGCTAAAGTATGTTGACCAGACCACACACTAGAAGGTGAAGGGACGACGACGTTTCGGTCCGTCCTGGACCATTTTCATGTCGATTGTCGATTCAAACAAGACAATCGACTTGAGAATGGTCCAGGACGGACCGAAACGTCGTCGTCCCTTCACCGTCTAGTATGTGGTCTGGTCAACAACCAGTAGACTCTTTATAGGACAATATAATATACCCAGCAGATAAGAAGCCGTGAGGTTGCTCCCTTGTGCCTGATATATAAAGGTGGTATGAGGCTAAGGGTCCAGTCTCAGTGTGGTGTCAGCACTCATCACATCAGGGTCACTTTCTCTCTCGCACTACAAAAGTAAGATGTAATAATTTTCAATATTCTAGTTGCAGGGCACAAATGCCTTGATAAAGCCTGAGCGTCGGGTCCGACACCAGCAAGACCCGCCCGTTTGAATTTTTTTTTGAAGACCCTACAACCCATGGAATGGTCTTCTTCCAAGGGGACCATTCCATGGTCCAAGTACCGGTGATCTTAACCCATTAACAAACGCATATATCCCTACTATACGTATATTCCGAAAAATATATATATGAGAAGGTAAAGGTAATCAATAATCTAGCTGAGAAAAAGTGATGATTCTTGTCACTTGACAGTGCTGAGGAAGCTGACGCTGGTGGCTGTGCTGACGGCGCTGACGGCGGTGATGGCGGCGAAAGTAACGAAAAATGACCAAGCTGGAAATGTCCAAACTGTCAGTCACAGTGTACACATCGAGGGCACTGACACGTGAGTATCTTGGTTCCTGAGGCACCATGACCCCATCCAGGACACAGGTAGGTGAGTACAGCTGCCACTTACTCATCTTGAGTAAAGAATAGTGCATATCAGAGTCTGGAGCCTAATTCACGAATCAGTTACGCAAGCACTTACGAACGTGTACATCTTTCTTCAATCTTATTAAACAGTTAACAAGCATGAAAACTTGCCAATCAACTGTTGTTATTGTTATAAACAGCCTCCTGGTGCTTCGGAGCTCATTAACTGTTTAATAATTGTAAACAAAGCCGCCAAGGATTGAGAAAAGATGGACAGGTTCGTAAGTGCTTGCGTAAGTGCTTCGTGAATCTGGCCCCCTGATCCTTTGGCTGCGATACTAAACCTCTACTCCAAGCCTGGCTTGCTGTGCGTAATAATCTACTCCAAGCCTGGCTTGCTGTGCGTAATAATCTACTCCAAGCCTAGCTTGCTGTGCGTAATAATCTACTCCAAGCCTAGCTTGCTGTGCGTAATAATCTACTCCAAGCCTAGCTTGCTGTGCGTAATAATCTACTCCAATCCTAGCTTGCTGTGCGTAATAATCTACTCCAAGACTAGCTTGCTGTGCGTAATAATCTACTCCAAGCCTAGCTTGCTGTGCGTAATAATCTACTCCAAGCCTAGCTTGCTGTGCGTAATAATCTACTCCAAGCCTAGCTTGCTGTGCGTACTAATCTACTCCAAGCCTAGCTTGCTGTGCGTAATAATCTACTCCAAGACTAGCTTGCTGTGCGTAATAATCTACTCCAAGCCTAGCTTGCTGTGCGTAATAATCTACTCCAAGCCTAGCTTGCTGTGCGTAATAATCTACTCCAATCCTAGCTTGCTGTGCGTAATAATCTACTCCAAGACTAGCTTGCTGTGCGTAATAATCTACTCCAAGCCTAGCTTGCTGTGCGTAATAATCTACTCCAATCCTAGCTTGCTGTGCGTAATAATCTACTCCAAGACTAGCTTGCTGTGCGTAATAATCTACTCCAAGCCTAGCTTGCTGTGCGTAATAATCTACTCCAAGCCTAGCTTGCTGTGCGTAATAATCTACTCCAAGCCTAGCTTGCTGTGCGTAATAATCTACTCCAAGCCTAGCTTGCTGTGCGTAATAATCTACTCCAAGCCTAGCTTGCTGTGCGTAATAATCTACTCCAAGACTAGCTTGCTGTGCATAATAATCTACTCCAAGCCTAGCTAGCTATGCGTAATAATCTACTCCAAGCCTAGCCTGTTATGCGTAATAATAATCTCTCGGACAAATTAATCCCAGGTAATTTAAATTTAATCCCAAATTAATCCTCGGCGTCTCCACCAGGGTAACTAGGACCTGGAGGTAATCCTCGTGTTAAGGATTACATTAAGTAACCTGTGGTGGCTGGCTATTGATATTGTTAATGAATTGTTAATTATAATTTTAAATAACATTCAATTTTTCTCCTTTATCAATAATCCCAATTTATCTTACCAAACATTCTTTGTTGGTCTTCTTTTACTCTCTTTGTTGCGCCAAAACATGGGTGAGTATAATGAGTATGAATAAATGTGAGTATAAACATCACGTGCGCTGAATCTAACTGTTCTCGCCTTAAGCCTAAACATTGAAATTGAAATTGAAATAAGTTTATTGAGGTAAAATACACACAAAGGGATGAGGTAGTTCAAGCTATTCTCACCCCGTTCAGTACATCGTGTTAATACATACATAGACACACATTACAAGCAATAAACGTATTACCAAACATTCTGAGAGATAAACACATACATTTCCTCCTTTACACAAGCCTAAACATCGTTTCTCTTTCAGGGATGAATCTAAAATGCCTGACGGTGAAGACAGCGATGTTACCATTAAATATAGCGTCAAATCCGATAAAGTGAGCACTAGACAGCGCTAGAAGACGCCGTCAGTTACATCCAAGAACTTCATAATATAGAACATGAATAACATGTTCTCGTAGCACGTAATACAGATTATAATAAGTTCCTGACCAGATTATGTGTCTCTGTAACCTCTGATTATGTGTCTCTGTAACCTCTGATTATGTGTCTCTGTATATATATATATATTGGTAGCAGTCTTTCTTGTAAACATATGTTGTTGAATATGACCAAAAGGGTAAGATTCTAACACGAATCTTCTCAATATTTCTTACGTTTTCTTCACTGTCGAGGGTAATTGAAAAATTAACTCTCCAAAGTTCATTTTCACATTTTATTTATGGTCTGACGTCTAGAAGCGTTTCGCAAGAGATCTCTTACATTTTCAAAAACACTTTTACATACTCTGTTTCATGCTTATATTCGTTTTTGGGTGAGGTGACAGGATATCAATGGGTAAAGAAAATTTTACCTACTCGGAACACGAATCAATGAGTATATTGCGTGTTTTCTCTTGCTTCTATTTATTGCTAGGTTAACAAGAGACATCGGGTGAAATTAAACTTGCCCAATCATATCTGTCGTGTCCACTAATCGAACCGTGGAGTGAATCCCGATCACGGGTCGAAAACGTAGACCATTGAACTACAGGACACAACAGATTTCCGAGACTACATGATATATGAGAGGGAAGTATAGTGACTTGTGCTGCATTTAATTGTTTAGTCTAACATTAATTGAAAAGAAACTGAGAATTATCATTTGTATTCACATTTGCATTCATCATTTGCTAGCTACTAAGACAAAAAATACTTGTATCCAACACAAGTTGGGTAATATTAAAATTGTCTTTTTACTTGTGCTCAATCATTGCTGAATTTCAAAATCCTGGCCGGTAAAATCGTCAGGATAAAATAAGGGGGTCCTTTGACAAGCCGCCGGCTTCCCGTCGTCGTCGAGGACACTAGATAGTGGCCCTCATAGAAACTCAGGTAAATAAACAGTGGGGGAGGAAGCCACAAATGCTCCTGCCCGCCGACAGGAGCATTTCCTCCCTCAAGATTATGGCCGACGGTGATTGGCTGCGCCACCCCCGGGCAGCGCGCCTCCAGAAGAACGAACATCCCACACTATACTGGACAGATTCCAGAGGCTCATATACCTCCGAAGCCTAGCTAGGGGTCGTTTCTGCCTCTACCTCGTAAGACCTCAAACACATAAACCCACAGACCTACATAAACACCGAAGACCTCTGTTTATGTTGACCAGACCTGGACCATTCTCAAGTCGATTGTCGACTTGAGAATGGTCCAGGACGGACCGAAACGTCGTCGTCCCTTCACCTTCTAGTGTGTGGTCTGGTCAACATACTTCAGCCACGTTATTGTGACTCATCGCCTGCACCTCTGTTTATGTAGGAGAGAGGTAAATCTGTGTATTTATGTTTGTAGGTTAGCTTAGCATTTTTACAAGCACTACAATCACCTTCTGTGGATGATTGTTCAATAAATCACTGAATTATATGTTTAACAGATCTCTAACCCTGTCCATGGAGGACAGAAGAAAATGTATATATGCAAATGGTTAGCAATGTAAATGTGTGGCCACGTCTGCGGTAGAAAATAATAATAATAATAATAAACTCTGAACACTACAAACTCAAGGTGAGCCACTTATTAATTCTGCACACCATATGCTCACACAAACACTGCAAATACTCCATGCAAAACACTATCTGCGCCGCAGACTTTGACGTCATGGGGGCGACGCCTAAATGTTTATACTCGTTTCAGTTTTCTCGCCTTGATTCCGGTGCTACGTCGCTCGTTTTGGTATCATTGTGTTCCCAATTAATTCCCTGCAAATGTATATGCATGTAATGTCCAAAAGCCTGGCGAGACTCCCCACAGCAAAGCCTAAAGCCCGAAAAGTTACCCGTGAGAGCCCAAAATCAGTCAAATGTTTATACTCGTTACTGGTTTCTCGCCTTAATTCTGGTGCTACGTCGCTCGTTTTGGTATCATTGTGTTCCCAATTAAATTCCCTACAAATGTATATGCATGTAATGTCCAAAAGCCTGGCGTGCCTCCCCACAGGAAAGCCTAAAGTTACCCGCAGCTTTTGTCTGTGCTTTAAAATGAAAAATGTTTCCCCGTTAAATATTCTATAAATCATTTTCTATGAATATCAGGAATAAAGAAAATGGTATCGAAGGGCTAACTATAGTAAATGTACAGAAATCGTTTCTAATAATTGGTTTCCTATTGTCGATGATAGGATAACAGTATAGGCTTGTCGAGAAGCACACGACTAACCTTTCATAACAAGCAACTATAGTAAGCTACTAACCTTTCCCAAAAGATGCAACCTGTAACAGTTGTCTAACTCCTGGTAGGACAGAAGCATCTAAATCCAGTCTCCGTGGTGTAGTGGTAAGACACTCGCCTGGCGTTCCGTGAGCGCTTTGTCCTGGGTTCGTATCTGTGGTGTTGTGTGTTGGTGGGGAAGTCTTGGTTGTAGGGTTGATATAAAGCCATTGCTTGGTTACTGACATTAATACTTATAAAGATAAAATAGCAGAATCCAAGCTTGGCGGGCGTCTTGTACGCGCTCTGTTGTTTACATACTGCTGGCGTATGAAACGCAGCGCATACAAACGGACGGTGCCGTTTGCTATGATTTTGATTGTTGCCGCCGAAGACGGCTAGTTTATTGTGCACCCCATACTCATCCTGTGAGCGGTAGCGTAAAAGCATTACAGAGGGCACAAAAGGTCTTTATCAGACCTCATCTTAGATTATTACATAAACAATTTCATCTATCCTTCACACCTTATAGTTACAATGTCAGCTAGTTACAGAGAAAGTGCTATTACAAGAGCTACATATTTACAGTAAGTCATCATACATTAATGGTAGGTCTTATCGCTAATACATAATAGTTTGACCAATGAGGATATTACAGAGTCAGAGGGGAGCTTTTGTTTATTTTTTTTTTTTGAGATATATACAAGAGTTGTTACATTCTTGTACAGCCACTAGTACGCGTAGCATTTCGGGCAAGTCCTTAATCCTATGATCCCTGGAATACGACCCCCTGCCGCGAAGAATCGTTTTTTCATCCAAGTACACATTTTACTGTTGCGTTAAACAGAGGCTACAGTTAAGGAATTGCGCCCAGTATATCCTCCCCGGCCAGGATACGAACCCATGACATAGCGCTCGCGGAACGCCAGGCGAGTGTCTTACCACTACACCACGGAGACTGCCTTTATTATTAGTCCTCACAATACACTACTTGTTTCTGAATCTCATATGTGGTTCATCTACTGGAAGCGAACGACATATGAGATTCAGAAACAAGTAGTGTATTGTGAGGTTTGCTATGAACATGACGGCATCCTGGCCGGGGAGGATTTACTGGGCACAAATCCTTAACTGCCCAAAACGCTTTGCGTAATAGTGGCTTTAGGCATTGTATGTACTAGCTCTACCTATAAATCCATCAACCTTTTTAGCTCACCTTGTATGTATGTACTTTACCTGAATAAATATTTGTATTTGTATTTTTTAACTGTAGCCTCTGTTTAACCCAACAGTAAAATGGGTACTTGGTTGTAAAAACGATTCTTCGTGGGGGTCGTATTCCAGGGAACATAGGATTAAGAACTTGCCCGAAACGCTACGCGTACTAGTGGCTGTACAAGAACGTAGCAACTCTTGTATATATCTCAAAAAAAAATAATAATTAAGAAAATCTGAAAAGAAACCTTCTCTATCGTGTACGACTTGGGAAGGAATCGAACTGTTGCTATTTAGGAGAACCTATTTTAATATTTTAAGAACTGACTGCTCTAAAATCTTTAATTATGATGAAGTGATCATTCAACATGGTTGACGTGTGTGGGTTTATACCTGATTTACCTGAGGGCCACTAACTCTAGTGGCCTCGACGAGGACAGGAAGCCGGCGGCTTCCAGCTTCCTAAATGGTGTTCCGAAGAGTGTACACCATTTATCTCCGTGTATACAACTGAGTTTACTCAAGTTCTGTATTAAATTTGAACAAAATTGTACTTGCTGGTGGTTAGGAAACAATTGTACTCCCGTCCTTAGTTTCCCTCCAGTGGTTGATGGTCTCAAGCCCGACACCGGCCACGTCACATCAGCAATATCATTAATGTGGATAATGTGATATATATTCGGTGCAGTAAGGACATGTTGTGCAACCCGTCCTCCTAATAGAACGTCGCATTTTGAGGGAAACTCCTCCTAAGGCCAGAACGGTTGTATTTGAAAATGATAGCGGCTTCCGCTTTCAGTTTTTTGGGTTCTCTGTAAATTTGGATAAGGGGGAACTTTAGTACGATCGTTTCTTGACGTTTGGAAACCTTAGGAGGACGAGCTGGTTATCAACATTCTCACAAAGCCACTAACAAGCTAAAGGTTTCGGCCGTGACACTTACATAATGATTGCTAGATTTGTTCAGTATTTACAGTTGTTTAGAAGTTAACTTTTTGATAGAACAAACTATAGGAAAGTTGTACGTGTCTGCGTCTTGCGCTGTGGCCAATAATTCCCACATATTTAGTGATGGATAATAGTTCTTGTTAGAATAGAGTTATGTAAAATCCAGTGATCAAGAGCCAGCTAGGCTGCCAGCTTGACTGCCAGCTTGGCTGCCAGCTTGGCTGCCAGCTAGGCTGCCAGCTTGGCTGCCAGCTCGACTGCCAGATCGGCTGCCATGATTGCAGACATAATGGCATGGGTCTCCACCGTGTTCAGAATTCTGATTACTGATGGGGTGGAAGGGAATATTCTAGGAGAGAGATGCATCGTCAAGACCGGTCTCTCTCTCTCTCTCTCTCCAGATAGTCGTTATCTTGGCTTCTCTTCCACTTTATCTTCGAGGAGGGACCTAAGAACGCCCCCTCCCCCCAGGAAGGAGAACCATGGTAAGGGGGGACCAGGAGGAAATCCCTCCCTCCACACGGAAGAAAGACTCAAGGCAAGGGACCGGGGAGGAGGAGGAGGTTAGACCTTTGTTATATCAGAGCTTTTTGTTTCACATTTTCTAATTTTTCCAGAAAATCGAAGTCTGGGACAGAGAATAAGT